GAACAGTGAATTAGAGTAAAACAGAATTGCTCAAGCCTGAATCTTGGATCTCTGATTTCTCTTTTGCACCTTCTCACGTAGAATCCAGAGACTAGTCCCATCAATCTCACCTCCAGAATTAATCCTACCAGGTAACTACCGAGGCTACCGAAGGGATGTTCCAGTGTCTGCTCTTGCCCCCTGCCCTGTGCTCTCCTCAGAGCAGCAGGACACCTCTCTACTTCTACCCTCTACTCACTGCCTGCGGTGTGGTCTGGGCCCTGCAGCTCTCTCTAACCCTCTCTGTATCTCCCTCACTCTGCTCTGACCCCTTTCTTCTCTGTGACCAGCCCAGCTTTCTTCATTTTAGAATGGTATCTAGCCCGTGGTTGGCATTTGGTGAGTATTTCTGAATGACAGAATGAGAGAGAATAACCAAATGAAAATTCAAGAATGAATGTGAGAGGATTTTAAAAAGTTCATGTAAAAATGGAATTAAAGTACAAGTTTATTTTGGTGAAAAAATATTTTTATATCCATGCATTTAAAAATATACATTTTCCATGAACGTTTTGAAGACAACCTAGTAGGTGTGCAAGACAGCGTGTGTGATGGCAGGAGGAAAATGGAAAGAAAGAGGAAGAGAATGAGGGGAGTGAAGAACAGCAGACAGAGTAGATGAAGATATTCAGTCAAATATTCCCATTTGACTGAAATCTAGAGAACGAGGTGGGAAGGGATGAGAGAAACATGAGGCTGCGGTGAGTTTTGAAAGTGAAAAGTAAATTATTTCTTCTTCTTCAAGATTATTCATTTCTTCCCTGAGCAAGAGAGACAGGGCAAGAGTGAGAGACAGCACCCTCATCAGTATCCCTATGCTATAATCCACTCCCAGTGCTCAACTACCCAAGAATCTGGAGAATTCAGGTGCTTGGCTAACTCAAGGAGATTCCCAGATTGAACTGAAAGACTTCCCATGTGGATCTGCCCCCCAGAGTGTCTTGTTTTACTGCTGTGCCACTACATGGTCCCCTAAAAGTGAATTCTGTAACTGAACACACCTAGATTGTTGTTTTATTTATTTAAAATCCCTGAGAGCAGCTTTGAGATATACAACTGCTCGTAATTCACACATTTTTTTTTTTAACCTATTCAGGGACACAATAAAAGAGCATCTATCAACATTTTGCTCAAGAGGGAAGTTGCCTTCTTTTTCATTGCAATCATTATAAAGCTGGTAGAATAAAGGCTTGTGTATATGTGAACTTTTGGAAAGCTTGAGGAAAAATTATTTGGAGCTGCAGGAAAGGAGATATAAATTCCAAATGGGAAGAATCTGTCAGAAGAGAATATTCATAAAGTAGTTGGAATTTATGGTTATATACATATAAGCATATTCTAATGACCACTATTTACTATTTTTCTTTCTATGAAAAAATATTCTATGGAACAAATTCCAAAATCTGAGATCTTGATTCTATTTTTCTATTCATGGATATTTTCTGAAGTTCCTATGACTTAATTTTTCCAGGTATAATCTTCATCTTATTTCGAACATGCACATAAACACCCAAAGTCACCTTTATGAGCATGGGATCTGTTGAACAGGGAATAGTGCTTAGAAGAATCTGTTTGGTTTAAAGCTCTCCTGTCACTGTCTTGAAATTCTTAATTATTTTTGAATAGGGGACTACTATTTTTACTTTGCAGTGGGTCGAAAAATTCTGCAACTGGTCATGCATACTCACACATGTTACATTATACATTGTGGATAATATTTCATCTCTTTAAGAAGGTGATTTCAGTTTGGTAGGTAGGAGGAATAGATGTTGAATGTGTAATCTCAAGGATGAAGAATATTATGCATAGAAAATAATAATAAGCTATTTGAACTGCATTTTAAGGTAGTCTAGACCCATTTTAAAATCAGACGAGAGTACAAAAGAGGTTAATTCACCTGTCCAGTGGAAAACCAGCTGCCAGTGAATGCAATTATAAATCACCTATAGGATTTTCGAGTCTGAAAATTTTAAATTTTATCAAATGATCAAATGGTCAGGTCTTTTTTTCTTCTTTTTTTTACTTCATTTCTGAATAAGTAATACATTTACCATACCGCTAAATTCAAGTTGCTAATATTTGGGACCAGCAGTTAGCATAATGGCTATGTCGCTGGACTCCCATGTAGCCGACACCTGTTCAAGTCCCGGACCTGGTGACTTAAACTCATGCCAGGCTCATGTGCATGCATGCCCAAGATCCCGAGAGGAGAATGGAGGAGAAGGGATTGCGGCATGGCCATCCTCCCTGGGGGGTGATTTCTCGCTTTCTGTCTCTCTGTCTCTGTCTGTCTAGCGAGCGCACGTGCCCTATAGCAAAAACCTCTCAAAAATAAAAGTTGCTAATATTTAACTTGGACTTTTAAAATTATATTCATAGGATATGTTTATTCTTTAAATGAATAGTTCACTTAAATAACTGAGATTAGGCTGGTTTTGTCAGGTCTTGTTGGCTTCATACAAAGAATTAGAATTTCTCTGTTTTATAAAACTGCAACCATTTAAGCACCACATAAAATATTTGTTTCAGGAAAACTTACTAGGTTCACAAAAAAATACTTTAATTTTATGGAATGAAGTTCAGGAATCGGATGAGACTATGAATTTTCAGCACTACTAGAGTAGAAATGTGAGGTTTGCTCTGAAATCTCAATCAAAACAGAATATCTGGAACTCTGGGGAGTTAGGTATGTCAGTATATCAGTAATAACCAAAGCTATGAAAATGAATGAAGTTACCCAACCCACAACTTGAGAAGGGAGAAGCAAGAAACTTGAGTACTAGGAAGTAAAGAAAGGAGTGCCCACTTACAAAAATGACAAATAGTGAGCAGCATAGGAAGAGAATCGAAAGTCAGTGTTCCAGGAGGCCACTGAGGAGAGAATTTCAAAACGGAGTAAATTGTCAGTTATTCCACCTGCCACAGAAAGATTGAGCAGGGTGGAGATGGAGGAGTGTGTTCACTGAATTTGGCAGAGCTGAGACTGGCCATGTCCATCCTGATGACAACCTGAGAACAGCTGTGTAGATAGAAGCAATATTCTAGTTTTACGGAGGCGAGAGAAAGAGGAAATAAAGTAAGAGAGGACAACTTTTAAAAGATGTTTGATAAAGAAAGAAGGAAGAGACTAAGGACTTCGAAGGCATGGGAGGCATAACGGAAGTTTTCATTTTAAAGTAGAAGTAGTTGAGCGTATTTATGCATTACTTGACCAAATTACATATTACAGAAGAGAGAAAGGATGGATCTAAGAGCCCAAGTTATTTCAGTTTTTTCCCCTCCTGCTCTCTTCATTCCTCTTCTTTAATTTCAGTCCATAAATGCTATTATTCAGAACAACAAGAATCTACTCCATATCTGATGCCTAATCTGCCTCTTACTGAAATGTTCTCTGTGGCACTCGTCTGCCTCTGGGTTGAGTATTGGCTTCTAGGTATGAAATCTTTTATAGGTATTTCCTAAATCACCTTTCAGAGGAAGTATCTGTAACTTTTATATAATTTGCACTATCTAATCCTTTTAAATGTTAATAGATGTGTTGTTGCCAATCAGACATTTCTCTTAAATAATAGATTTTGGAGGGACTATGTTTTTAACTGCTGTCTTTATAACAGAATAATTAGATATTACACCTACAAACATTTCTTCATGCAAACAATATGAAGAAAATAGAAAAGTATTTTACTCAATTCCCTAGGTAGAATACCTTTATACTATCCAGTTTTACAATATGAGGATGATGAATGTTTTTATAAGCTCTTAGACCTCAGTGACTTAGTCATATTTGTTCTGGAATTCGCTGCAGTCAACAGAGCACTTTTTTTTTTTTTTTTTTGCTATAGTGCATGTGCACTTGGCAGAAAGACACAATCTCTTCTCCTCCATTCTCCTCTCAGGATCTTGGGCACTCATGCACATGTGTCTGGTGTGAGTTTAAGCCACCAGATCCGGGACTCGTCAAACTGCAGTTGACTACATGGGAGTCCAGCAACACAGCCATTATACCAACTACTGGTCCCAGCCTTTCAAGTTGTATCTAAATTGCACTTTCAGAAAAAAGAAAAAACAGACTGCATAAGTCTTGCCTTGTTTTACAGAGAGTCAGTGCTCTGAGCAAAGTTGTATTAACATCCAGGAATGTTATAATATCAACTACTGATGACAAATACCAACTACTGATTGACATCAATATGTCTTAGTTTCTGGTAAGCTTGTCAAAATTCTAATATTTAATATAGATTTAGACTTCTTTTCCTAATATGGAGGGCCATCCTATTTAAATACTTTTATTGTTAGATTAGAAAATTAGACCAATCTGCCTTTCCTTCATTCTGGGAGATTCCCCTTTCAGCACAATGTCATTGCCTTGGACTGTGATTGGACTCTTAATTTCATTTTAACTCATATGTGACAGAATTATATGTACTGCAATAGCAATGGAATCTATAAACAATAAACTAAAAAGTCCTTAGGTTTTCAATCATTGCTCTGAGCCAATAATGTGTCAATTAACTAGCACTCTAAAAGTGTATATCTACTGTTAATGTGCTCACTTAAGAATTTAATATATTAGCCAGCAGTTACATACATTCTTTAGTGAAAAGAGCACAAAATTTAAAAATTTCAGAAGACTAAAACCTTGAGCCACAGGGCCAGCAAATGGCGTAGAGGTTAAGGTGTTTGACTCCCACATGGCTGACCACATTATTGGCTGTTGGCTTGAAAATCACACCAGCTCATGTGCATGTGTGCCCCAAATCCCAGGAATGGGAGAGAAACGATTGTGGTGTGGCCATCCCTCCTGGGGGTGGGGGGGGAGGAGATTTCTCACTTTCCTTCTCACTGTTTCTCTCAGTCTCTCTGGTGAGCACATATGTCCTATGGCAAAAACCTTAAGAAAAATAAAACATAAACCATTGAGTTTGGTGTGTAGGCAGTTTCTCCTAACATGGAAGCAGATAGTCATATTGCCATAGTTCTTGAGTAACTTGCCCTATATAATGATGATTGTATGTTTTGATTTCCTTATTTTTTCTTTTTAATTTGCTAGAGGTTATGTGTACTCACCAGAAAGAGACAGAGAGAGAGAGAAAGGGAAAGGGCAACAGAGAAAGCACGCCTGAAGAATGACCATGCTGCTATTTCTCCTCCACTTTTTCCTTCCTTCAGGATTTTGGGCATCTAAGCATGAGCATCAGATGTGATTCTCAGGCTGCCAGTGCTGGGATTCAAATTGTGTAGTCAGCTTTATGGGATCCAGCTTTCAGGCTATAAACTGGCCATTTTGTTTCTATTTATATGATAGTAATTCTTCCTAATTTTTATTTTATTGTCTTAAGAATTATTTATTTAATTTTATTATTATTATTGTTATTATTAAAATTGCTATAGGGCACATGTGCTCCCAAAAAGAGAAATTAAGAGAAAGTGAGAAAGCAAGTTGCCAGGTCCTGACTTGAACCATGGTTGACCATATGAGAGTCCAATACCTCAACCCCCATATAACCTGCTACTTTCTCTCCTTAATATTTAGCTAAAATGTTTTCTAATCATGTATTCCTCATTAGAATTTTTAAAAATCTAATTGCATTTAATTTTTTATGGATTACAGATTAAATTTTATGTGTTTATTCTTTTTTTAGAGAGATTTTTTGCTATAGATTGCATGTGCTCGCCAGACAGACAGAGACAGAGAGACAGAGAGTGAGAAATCAACCCCCTTGGGAGATGGCCACACTGCAACACTGCAATCTCTTCTCCTCCATTCTCCTTTTCAGGATCTTTATCAAGCATGCATATGCACTTGGCATGAGTTTTAAGTCACCGGGTTTGGGACTTGAGCCGCGATTGACTATGTGGGAGTCCAGCGACGTAACCACTAGGCAATCTGCTGGTCCTTTACGTATTTATTCTGTACTACAGATTTTTTCTTTTCTTTTTAGGTTTTTACCATGGAGTGTGTGCACTCACTGGAGAGAGACAGAGAGAGGAAAAAATGAGAAGTCACCTCCCAGAGGGGATGGACATATTGCATGTCTTCCTTCTTTTTCATTCTCATTTTAAAATTTGGAGCAATCCCTTCTCCTTCATTTTCCTGTTGGGATTTTGGGCATGCACGCACATGTCCTCAGCATGATTTTCAAACTGCCAGGTTCAGGACTCAAAATGTGGTGAGCCATTTGGGAATCTAGCACCTTAACCACCATGCCACCTACTGGCCCCCGAATAATGTTTTAAAATATGTATACCTTATAGAATGACTAAACCTGGTTAGTTAATACATACTTACCTTAGAGAATTTTCATTTTGGTGATGAGAACACCTTATATGCACTCTTTTAGCATTTTTCAAAAATACAGTATATTATTAGCTATAGCCACCATGTTATACAATAAATCTCTTGAACTCCTGTCAAACTAAAATTTTGTATCTCTCGTCCAGCATCTCCTCAGCAGTTGCCCACCCCTAATTGCCTCACTTGCTAGTTACCAACCACCATTTTATTCTCTACTTCTATGAAGTCAACTTTTTTTAGATTCCACACTAGTGAGATCCTGTTATATTGGTCTTTCTGTGCCTGACTTACTTCACTTAGCACAATGTCCTCCAGGATTATGCATGTTGTAGCAAATGATAGGATTTTATTCATTTTTATGGCTGAATAGCATTCCATTGTGTGTGTATATCACATTTTTAAAATACATTCATTCATGTCATTTTTTTTAATTCATGAATGGATACCTTGGCAATTGTGCATAATACTGCAAAACATATGGGAATGCAGATATATCTCCAACATACTGATTTCTTTTTTTTTTTGATATATATCTATTATTGGAATTACTTGATCATATAATAGTTCTATTTTTAAATTTTTGAGGAATCTTCACACTGTTTACCATAGTGGTCATACTAATTTACATTCCCACTAATCGTATGTAAGTTTCTTATTCACATATCATCAACCAACACTTATCTCTTTTGGATAATAGCCAGTCTAACAGATATTAAGTGATACCTCATTATGGTGTGTGTTAGTTTGTTTTTTAGGTTTTTGCCATAGGGTGTGTGGACTTGCCAGAAAGAGACAGACAGAGGGAAAGTGAGAAATCACTCCTCTGGTGGGATGGCTATGCCACAATCCCTTCACTTCCATTTTCCTTTTGGGATCTTGAATATGTACACATGTGCATCCAGTGTGATTTTCAAGCCACTAGGTCCAGGATTTAAACCATGGTCAGCCATGCGAGAGTCCAAAGCCTTAAGTATCATGCCACCTGCTGGCCCCCTCATTATGGTTTTAATATTCAATTCTTTTATGATTAGTGATGCTGAACTTTGTTTATATGTATCTGCTGTCTTTTTGTATATTCTATTTTTGGAAATGTCTATTTATGTTCTTTGCCCATTTTTGAATTGGGTTATTTATTTGATTTTATTGAGTTGTTTGAGTTTCTTATATACACTAGATTGTAACCCCTTATCAGTTGTATTATTTGCAAATATTTTATTTTATTATGTAGGTTGTTTCTCCTCTGTTGATTGCTCTCCTGATTGTGCGATTTTCAGTTTCAAGTAATTCTGTTTGTCTACTTTTTGCTTTTAGTGTCTGTACTCTTGAAGTCATACTCAAAACATTACTTTACAGGCAAGTATCAATTTTTCAGCTATGTTTTCTGACACTAGATTTTTTTGGTTTGAATTCTGATATTTAAGACCTCTTGATTTCATATCCATCAATTTCACTAATTTTTTTTAATATTTCTAACAGATTTTTTGTTGGTGGATTTATATGTAGAATTTCTTGTTACATATGATCATGTCATCTGCAAACAGAGACAATTTAATTCTCACTTTCTACTTCAAATGTCTTTTATTTCCTTCTCTGGCTTAATTGCCTTGGCTAAGAACTCAGATACTGTACTGAATAGAAGTAGTGAGAGTGCACCAGGTGTGTGTGCATGTGTGACCAAGATCTCAAGATAATAGAGGAAAAGAGATTGCAGCATGGCCATCCCCCTGGTGGGGGATGATTTCTCACTTTCTGTCTCTCTGTCTCTGTCTTTTCGGTGAGTGCATGTGCCCTGTAGCAATGATCTTTCTTTAAAAAATTAACAAATAAAGACATAGTGAGATTGAGTATCTTTTTCTTATTTTTGATCTTATAGGAAATGGTTTCAACTTTTTCATTTGAGTATAATGCTAACTGTGGGTTTGTCGCATATGGCTTTTATTGTGTTGAGGGACATTCAACATTATATGTGTGTGTATATAAAAGAATGTTGAGTTTTGGCTAATTTTTTTAATATCTATTAAAATAATTTTTTGATCTTCATTCTGATAGTGTGATGTATCACATTAATTGATTTATAAAAGTGCTTTATATATTTTGGTGCTTCTGTAACAAACTTTTTGAAAGGTTTGAACCATCCTTTCTTTTTTAGAAGGAATACAACTTCAGTACAGTGAATGATCTTCTGAATGTGCTGTTGAATTTAGTGTGCTAGTATTTCACTAGGAAGATTTGCATCTATGTTTATCAGATATATGAGCCTGTGATTTTTCTTTGTATTTTTAGTGTATTGTCTGGTTTTGGTATCAGGGTCATACTGGCATGGAAAAATTAGTTTGCCAGTACTCCCTCCTCTCAACTTTCTGGAAGAGTATTGAACAATTGGTATTAGTTCCTATAATGTTTGATAAATTTAAGTAACTAAGTCATCAAGTCCTGGACTTTTCTTTGGTATGAGATTTTTTAAATTACTAATTCAAATCTCCTACATATTATTGGTCTATTAGGTTTTTTTATGTTCTTATAATTCAGATTTGGTTGGTCACATCCATCAAGGAATTTATTCCTTGCTTCTAGGTGATCCAATTTGATGATTTATAATTTTTTATTATTGTCTCTATTGAACTTTTGTATTTATATTGTGACAAATGCAATGTGTTCCTTTTTGTTTCTGATTTTATTTATGTGCATTTTCTCTTGTTTTTCCTTTTCTAGCTCAAGATAACTTGATTTTACCTTTTCAAAAATACCTTTTAGTTCTGTTTTTTTTAATGCATTTAGTCTTTATTTTATTTGTATCTGCTCTCATCTTTATTATTTTATTTCTTCTACTAACTTAGTGCTTAGTTTTGCTTTTGTTTTATTATTTCCTTGAACTGCAGTATTAAGTTTACTTGAAATTTTAAAAAAATATTTAATTTTATTTATTATTATTTTTGTTTCTAATTTGACTAGAGAGAGACAGAGAGAGAATAAAAGGAAAAATAAGAAAGCAAGCCACCAGGTTCAGGTCTCTAATAGTGGTTGGCCATATGAGAGTCTAGTACCTTAACCACCGTGCCACTTGTCAACCCCCAATTTTTTTTAATGTAGGCATTTGTTCCTATAAATTTTCTTCTTATAACTGCTTTAGCTGTATCCTATAGCTTTTAGTCTGTTGTATTTTCACTTTCATTTATCATACAAATTACAAAAATTCCCTTTTAATTTATGTATTAATCCATTTGATTGTTCAGGAGCATATTGATTTACTTTTATGTATTTGTGATTTTTAAAAAAATTTTTCTGTTACATGGTTCTAATTTTTTTCCATCAAGGTTAGACAAGATATTCGCTTTAAAATGTTAAATTTGTTAATTTTTTTTTGTGGCCTTACATATGGTATATTTGGTGAATATCCCATGTGAACTTGAACATAATGTGTATTCTGTGATTGTTGGATGAAATGTTCTATATATGTATGTTGGAGAATTTAATTAATTATATTTAAGGTACATATTGATAGGTAAAGGCTTACTGCTGTCATTTTGTTGTTTTCTTGTGGTTTTGTAGATCCTTTGTTCTTTTTTTTTCCTATCTTGCCTTTTTCCTTTGTGAGCAATTTGCTATAGTAATATGTAATTAAAATTCCTTGCTTTATATTTTTTTGTATGTCCACTCTCAGTTCTGCTTGGTGGTTACCAGGAGGCTTATTGAAAACCTCTGATAGTTTTATAGGTTTAAACTAATAATAAGTTTGATTGCAAAATTCCAACAACCAAAGCTCGGCAATTTTACTCCATCCCTACAAACATTTTGAGTTTTTTATTTTTATATTATTGCATATCCTTTAACAAATTACTGCAGCTATTATTATTTTTAATAGTTTTATCTTTTTGTTTAAAGAGAGATTTTTTGCTATAGGGCATGCACGCTTGCCAGAAACAGAGAGAGACACAGAGAAATAAAGCATGAAATCACTTTCCAGAGGGGATGGTCATATCACAATCCCTTTTCCTTCATTCTCAACTTGGGATTTGGGGCACACATGCACATATGCCCAGGTGAGATTTAAGTTGCCAGGTCTGGGACTTGACCTGTGGTCAACTATGTGGGAGTCCAGCAATGTAACTGCTGTGCTATCTGCTGGTTCCTAATAGTTTTATCTTTCAACCTTCATACTAAAGATATAAATAAATACACCACCATTGCAGTTTTAAAGCATTCTGAATTTGACTACATATTTACTTTTACCAGTAAATTCTAAGCCTTCAGACATTTTCTTGATACTCATGAGTGTTTTTTTCTTTAATGATGAAGAATTCCTTTGGTGTTAAAAACAGATTGCCAGAGGGCACATGTACTCAACAGAGAAAGTGACAGAGAAAAAGAGGAACAGAGAGAAAGTGAGAAAGTACCCCTCTGGTAGATGATGATGCTATAATCTCTTCTCATTTATTTTTCCCTCCACATATGTATACATTATGTGTTTTAAGCCACCAGGTCTAGAATTCAAACTATTTCTTGTAAGGCAGGTCTGGTGGTAATGAATTTTCTCATATAATGTTGTCTGGAAAAGTCTGTATCTCTTCCTCATTTCTGAATGACGTTTTTGCTGAGTTCGGTGTCCTTGGTTAGCATTTTTTTTTTTTTATTCATGACTCTGAATAGATCATCCCATGCTCTGATGGTTTGTAAGGTCTCTGCTGAGAAGTCTACTGCTAGTCACATTGGATCTTCTATATGTTATTTGCTTCTTTTCCCTTGCTGCTTAAGGGTCTTCTCTTTGTCTTTGATCTTTAACAGTTTGATCATAATATGTCTAATAGTTTGATCATAGTATGTCTTGGGTAATTTTGTTGGAATCAGATCTAGTTGGATACCTTTGACCTTCCTTTACCTGGATATTTATACCTATGTCCAATTTCAAAACATTTCCTGCTGCTATTTCTTTAAATAAGCTTTCTACTCCTTTATCATTTTCCTCCCCCCTTAAAATAGAATGACTGAAATATTTGCTTTTTTAATTAAGTCCCATAAATTCTGTAACCTTGCTTGTGTGCCTTTTTTATCTTTGTTTGTATATTTTCAGATAAACTGCCTTCAAGTTCATAAATATTTTTCTTCTCCTTGATCAGTTCTGCTGTTAATGCTATCATTATTATTTTTTAAAGTTTTGTTCATGGTGTTTTTCAACTCCAAGATTTCTGTTTGATATTTTATTATTTTAATCTTTCTGAAATTTCTCATTTGAGTCACTTACTGTTTTCCTTATTTTGTTGAATCATTTCTGTATTTTCCTAAAGATTGCTGAGCTTCCTTAAATGTTATTTTAAATTCTTTGTCAGTCGGTTAATACATCTCCATGTCTTTAGAGTCAATCCCTAGCATTTTATTTTGTGATTTTCTTGGTCTGTGTGGTTGTGTGCTGATGTTTTCAAAATTTTAAAAGTAGGCACTTACAGTCTTCACACCAAGCACAATCAGCTTGGTGTTATCAGAAACCTGGGTCTGAGACCAGCAGATGGTATAATGGTTACACTGCTGGACTCCCATGTAGTCCACTGTGGTTTGAGTCGCAGACCTGGCAGTTTAAAACTGGGTGCATGTGCACGTGTGCATGCCCAAAATCCCAAGAGGGGAATGGAGGAGAAGGGATTGTGGCATGGCCAACCCCCCTGGGGGGAGGGATGTGATAGCTAACTTTCTGTCTCTTTTTGTCTCTCTTTCTCTCCAGTGAGCATATTTTTTGCATTATAGCAAAAAAATATCTCTTTAAAAACAATATGAAAGAAACCTGGGACTAACTATGGCAGGTGTAGTGTTGAAACAAAAAAGCATCTCAGGGCCTATGTGGCTGGTTCAACAGTGGGGCAAGTTAGTATGATGCACTGTGGCTGGTTCAACAGTGGGGCAAGTTAGTATGATGCACTGTGGCTGGAGAAGTGCTACCAGAAACTGAGAGAGACAGGTATGGCAAGTGTAGAATTGGAGAGCTTGAAAATTTCAGAGCAGATGTAGTTGGCATAGCAGTGAAGTACACCAGAAGCCTGGTGCAGCTGCAATCAGTTGTGGCATTGCCAGCAGCCCAAGATCCATTCTGGCAGATACATGGCCGAAGTAGGCTGAAGCCCAGGTCTTCTGAGGCCTGCCTGTTGCTGAGAGCTGGCTGGAGCCCAGAGCCACTGATTCAGTCTGGTGGTAGTGCAGTATGGAGACAGATCTTGGACATAAGGCTGGAGCTGTATGATCCTGCCTGTCACTGAGATGAATCTAGGATCTCAGTCTGCAGGGAAGAAGTCAGGAATAGGAGCCTCTGGGGCTCTGTCTGGTACTGGTTTTTATTGTGGAATGTCCAGTATTGGGGTCCAAAACCA